TGGTTTATACTTTAGGTCAGCAATCGGCTGATCCGCGTCTTAGTTCAATTGTAATACTTCTTTTCGATCTCGCGGAACATTATAACTCCTTTTCGTCGAAATAAAATCGTTGCCCTCGCAGAAATCGAACTCAAAATTTTTCGTCATTTTTAAATTTAAACAGCTAATAAAAAAGCTTATTAGCTAAACGGCAGCTGGAAAATACCGCAAAACAAACAATTATGTATGTGTTAGTTATGTATGTATAGTCGACTCTCGTTAATTCGAAACCCGAGGGAAATATTACAAATTATCGAGTGTTTAAAATATTAAATGGTTCGAGAATGTGAGAGAAAATAAATAAAAATAAATACATTCGTATACGAACGTATTTGTCGCAAATAAAATTTCGCCATCGGTTAGTGAACCTGAGACAGCAACATTTTCTTCCATTAGAACAAAATCAGAAAAACTCACATCGATGATGTCAACTAATGGTTATATTGTTGGTTCTTCATCATTTATAAGTATTGGAAGATTTTCTTTATTTTGTTTTTAGGAACCGGATTTTTTGAAGCAATTAAGAATCGTTTGGAGTGTTACAGCTCACCATGCTTTGTCGCTTAGTAAAATAGCTATCATAACCCTGATATTTGCAGTTAGCTGTTTGTCGAAAGATTCTAGAACGATCTTAACCATTTCTTTGCGATAGAACGTCTTAAAATTATGGATAATCCCTTGGTCCAATGGTTGCTATTTGTAAGTTGTATTTGGCGGAAAGAAGTAGAGTTCCACGTTAGACAACGTAGGAGGACTGTTGTGGACAGTGCAGTTGTTTAAAAATAGTACAATTTTCCGCTTTAGTCGTTTCATGTCCCCATTAACTGTTAAAAACCAATTGTTAAAAAGTTCTGTCGTCATTCAAACCTTTCTGTTAGCACGATAATTAGTTGGAAACGATTTCACTTGTGAGGTAACGCTCACAAGGGCCTCCTTCCCCCCCAATGTATGTAATGTAAATATTAGTTAGGTATAGTTTATAAGGTAGAATATTAAGATTTAGGTTAAGGAGCTAGAAATACCGTCCATGGGCACTAGGATAAGTTAGTTTAAGGCCCATGACGGGCATTCTTTTCTTAGTTAGACCTACGGGAGAGAGCCCGTACATACGTTGCCCGCCGGGCGCACTCGCCACACCGCCCTGGCAACATCGCCGCCAACACCTGCCACATCCCCGGCCACACCAGCAACCCCATCGGCATCATTGCCGACATCATCGCCAGCAACACCCATCGACAACATTACCGACATCATCGCCAGCAACACGCATCGGCAACACTGCCGACATCATCGCCAGCAACACGCATCGGCAACATTGCCAACATCATCGCCAGCAACACGCTTCGGCAACATTGCCGACATCATCACCAGCAACACGCATCGGCAACATTGTCAACACCATCATCGCCAGCAACACGCATCGGCAACATTGCCGACACCATCATCGCCAGCAACCCGCATCGGCAACATTGCCGACACATCTCTCCAAGCTTTACGCTCTCGGCGCAGCCGACAACCGGCAGAGCCAACGGCCGAACGAGGAGAGGAGCACGATCGCGTAGAGAGACGCGGGTGCAGGGAAGCTGCAGAGAAAGCAGGACAACGACAACTGCACGGAGGCAGCGTAAGGGATCGGCTGCTCATATCCTTCTTTCCCCGTAGTTCAGAGCACCAGCAACCGGATGACGGGGCTGGCTAACCGACTCCCGGGTGACGGTATCGGCCGCTCACTACCTCCCATTTCCCCGTAGTTTAGAGCACCAGCAACCGGATGACGGGGCTGGCTAACCGACTCCCGGGTGACGGGATCGGCCGCTCACTACCTCCCTTCCCTCGTGGTTTGGAGCACCGGCAACCGGCTGACGGGGCCGGCTAACCGATTCCCGGGTGACGGGATCGGCCGCTCTCATCCTCCTCCTAGCTTGAGCACCGGCACCCGGCTGACGGGGCCGAACAACCGATTCCCGGGTGACGGGATCGGCCGCTCGCATTCCTCCCTGTAGTTTGGGCACCGGCACCCGGTTGACGGGGCCGGACGACCGACTCCCGGCTGACGGGATCGGCCGCCCTTAGCGTGTCCAGGTCTGCCGGCCGCCCCGGTTGACGGGCCGGCGGCACGACCGCGGCATACACCATTCCCCAGCCACCTCACCGGCCACACGCTGAGTACCCACGGTTGACTGGCCTGAGCGGGAGCCAGTATCCGGATGACGGATCGGTTCTCCGGCGGCCAGTGGCCAGGCGTATTCCTGCGATGATCCGGATTTTCCCCTCCAGACACACACCTAAGTAAAAGCCCGCCTCTTTTTCCTGCCTGTCTCCGTAAATAAATAAATATTGTAACGAACTGTTTTTGTTACTTTTATGCTCGCTACTTAATTGTGCGGCTAGCTCAGTATTGTTTGTTTGTTCGTCCCACCAAATTTATTTGTTGTGATTGCCCCACCCGTGAATGAGAAGACAACTGTTGATTTCTCGACTTTAAACTTGTTTATTGACTTCCCAAAACTGACAAGTTAGTATACTCTGCTGCTCGCCTCGATATGCTGCTCTCGATGCTCTCGGTTACGTTTCCCTCGATGTCGCCTCCTGGGTTGAAACCCTCTCCTGTGCTCCCGCTCGAACGCTGCCGTCGATGTCGGGTACCTCACGCAATGGAGTCGGACTATCTGGGCTCCACCCTAGTCCCTACTACTCCGTGCTGGGGCTGTTCAATCCCTGGGTCTCGGGGTTTCGCTGCTCCAGGACTCTGGCAGACACAGCAGGGTTCTCGGCGTGCACGCCTTTAACACCCGTGCCGTTCAACTGCGCGTCCTTCGCGGCTCGTCGCACCAGAACACAACTCTCGCCACGAGACGGACCAAGCGTACGCCGGATCACGGTCTGGTAGACTCTACAGTATGCGCCTGGTTCTTGACTCTGCCCCACCGAGGACACGTTTAATCGATTAAGGACTCGTATGTGTAGACTTGGTCAGGACCCGCCGGGCAATACGCCAGGCTCAATGTCACTAACCAGGGGTCGTCACAGGCGCCTAGATCGATTCGTGTGCTGCCCACAGGACCTCAGCTACCTGTGTCTCAATTCGGAGACTTGCAACTTCAAGTCCCGAACGTCTCGACGTAGCGATCTTGCTCCCTGTAGACTGCTTGCTTGGGATCCTTGCGTCCTTCGTCCGCGCCGTTGATCCTTTCTCCTCTTGTCCTTCTCGTCCTTGTTTGGCTCCTTGAGGATATCCTTGCTGATATCCTGGCTTGTATCCTTGCTTTATCCTTGCTCGTATCCTTGATTGTTCTCTCGCCGTTTGTGTGTACTCGTGGTTTGCTTTTCCTTGACTCCTCCCGGCTGAACTGCGGGCCCCGCTTATATAGGGCCCCCTGGTCCCGTTAATCCTCGGCGTCTCCTTTTCATCTGGGTCCAAGGTCCAGCGGCGATCCCGTTACTTCTTCGGTTGGATCGCGTGACCGGGTCCAAGGTCCACCGCAATCCCGTTGCTTCTCTGGCTGGATGGCGTGACCGGGTCCAAGGTCCACCGCGGCCCCGATATCCTTTTATCCAGCCATTCTTATTTGTGGGGAGTTATCCAACTCCTCACATTCCCCCTTACTTCGGGAAGGAAAACGAAAACTCGTATCTCGGCTCCGGCTGTTTCCTTCCATTTCCTTCGTCGCCTACACATCCCTCGCAGATCCAGATGTTCAGAATTCCTCCCGAGATAGTTCCCCCCGTAGACTTCCCTTCGTAGACGTTCTCCCGGCAGACGTTCCCCATGTAGACACTTCCCTCGTAGACGTAGACGTTTCCCTCGTAGATGCAGCCGTTTCCCCCCGTAGATGCAGACGTTTCCCCCCGTAGACGTAGACGTTTCCCCCCGTAGACGTAGACATTTCTCTCATAGACGTTTCCCTCGTAGCCGTAGACGTTTCCCTCGCAGACGTTCCCCTCGTAGACGTTTCTCTGGTAGACGTTATCCCCGCAGACGCTTCCCTCGTAGACGTTTCTCTGGTAGACGCTTCTCTGGTAGACGTTTTCCCCGTAGACATTTCCCTCGTAGCCGTTTCTCTGGTAGACGTTTTCTCGACTCACTTCGAATTTGGATCTGCATGCCTGCACGATGATAATTTGAATTCGCGCGCCCCCCTGCCAATTCATATTCGCGCGCCTCCCCGATGCTTCCTCTGGTCACACTGCCAGCTGGCCAATCCGTTCCCACCTGCACCTATCATACGCCGGGTTGCCACTCGATCATGGCGCTTAGTGCAGTGAGCCCCATCACCTATCGGCCATCAGCCTATCGATAGTTCTGCCTGCCGATCTTACTATATCGAAACCTTCCCACCCCGAGGTCGCCGGAATGGAAAAATTCCCAAGGTACGTTTACTCTTTCGCTTTTCTCTTTTTCATGGTTTTCTTGCATTTTCCCCTACAGCTCTCCATGCCCTTGACTTGCCCTTTAATCTGGACCTCGGGTGGGAAAGGTTAATGCCCCCCCAAACCGCAAGTACATGCCAACATTTGGCCGCCCACGCTAATTACTCTCTTCTTCTTGCAGATCACAACAACGACCCCCCCCTTATATTTTTTTTTAAATTTTTTTTAAAGTCTTAAATGTGATGCTGAGTGTTTTGTTTTCTGTGCAAGTGCGATTTTTTTAGCGATCGACCGACTCCCCCCTTTTATTATATATTTTTTTCCTTTGGGTTATGCTGGCCCCTCCATCTTTGTTTACCTTTTGCTCTCGACCCCCTTCCCCCTCTTTTCGACCATTTTTCTTTTCATTATGCTCCAACCCCTTTTTATTATCAGATTTTGTTCTATATTTTTTTTTTTTTGATCTCGAGCTTGTAAAATTCTTTTCTTCATTTTTTTTTTCTTCCTTTTTTTTTCATTAAAATTCCAGCCTTTTCTTTTTTTTATTCCTTTTTTTTTATTGGATTTCTTTTTTTTTTTTTTTTGCTCCGCTACTGGGTATATACCCTTATGCCTCCCGGCCCCACTCGGACCCGGAACTTCTCCGCCCCCCGCTGCACCATCACGCAGCGCCGACCACCGCGTCTCCGTGCGGCTTCGACGGCTCCGCATGCCTCGATTTCCGCGGGCCACTGCGTCCTTGGCACCTCCAGCCATCTCCGCTCGTCCGGCACCGACACCTGCCGTCGCCATTCCGGTGGTCCAGCCCTGGCCACGGGCAAGGACGCTTGGCGTTTGAAGCCGGGCCTCGATTTCACGGCGGCCACCTCGGGCCACAACCAAGGCCCCCTTTCCCACGGTTCGGGCTCCTCCTCGGGCTCCTCTTCCACCTCCTCCGGCGCTGCCTCGGCCTCCTCTGGGGATTCCTCCATCCTCGGCGTCGCTCCCGTGGGCCACCTCCACTCCACGGTGTGTTGGCACCACCGCACCCCCTCCTCCACGTATTCCTTAAGGGAGTGTGAGACCCTCGCCTCTGGAATATCGGCCCGCCACTCGGGCCGCAACGGTCCCACACTCGCGGGTGCCTCCTCCGGTGCCTGCTGCTCCATTGGCGACGGCGGCCTACCAGCCGCCGGCCGATCCTCTGCCGCCTCTTCTTTCCCTGGATGCGGCGTTGGTGGTCGCGCTGGCACCCACCGAGGGGGTGAGGGCGTGGCATCCCAGCTGGGTTCGACATCCCAAAGCCCTCCTGGCGTCGGCGGCCGCTCCGGCATCCACTCAGGCGACTCTGGTTTGGACTCTGGCGTCCGCTCCCCTTCCTCTATCTCCTCCACCCAGTGCCTGGGAGTTGGGGGCACGACCATGCCTGGCGTTGGCAGCGGCACCTCCCTTATCATCTCGGGGCTCTCCCACAATGCCCGCTCCTCTTGCTCCGCCTTCTCCAGTCTCGCCTCCCAGCTGGCGCGAGCCTCACGATCCTTTTCTTCGTCCGCTATTTTCTGCTTCAACTCTTTATAGCGGGCCGTGACCTGTCGAAGCTCTTCCAGATGCCGCTCCCACCTCCTTCGGCCAGCTCCTGCTTGATGAGGGATCGGCGTCCCCTCGTTCCAGAGGGTCCGACACAGCCCTAAAGCCATGTCGGCCCTCGTCGTGGCGTTGGCCCTCGCAGGCCCAGACGGTCCATCTGGAACCTCCACTATCCCAACCGGGATCGAGTTGTCGCTCCTGCCTGCTGCTCTTCCCAGACGCCACCTCCTGGCCTCCTCCCGTGGGTCGTCAATCATCTCGACCTCGCTGTCTGACGATACGGTCGGCTCGGGCTCAGGCGGCGTTGGATCCTTCAGAACTTGGCGGGAGGTTCGGGTAGGCCGGGTGCCTGGCTGGCTGCCCACTCCCGACCATCCTTGCCCCCTTCCAAGTCCTTCGGGATCCTTTGCGGCCTCCATCCTCCGGCGTGCCTCTGCGCGAGTTACGATTGTGCTCATCTTTGTTGAATTTTTGAATGTCTGCTCCCGGCCGCCCGTCCCGCTTTTATACACGGGTCCTTCGCCATCTCCTTTTCGACGGTACCGTTATTTCCCTCGAAGTCGCTCTCTTTCGGCACTCTGATTTAAGAGTGCCGTCCTCTCTTTCCTCGGGAAGAAACCGTAAGCTTTCCTTTTTCGTTTCTACGGTTCTAACAGCAGTACCATTGTGTTCCTGGCTCGTGCTTGCCGTCCTTTTTCTTTGTATGACTCTGTTCTGTGTCTGTATTTTTCTATGGCTCTGGCCCTTGTCCGACGCTAGGATCGCCTGCCATTTTTTAAAAAAAAAACTTTGTGTTTGTGGCTATTTCTCGCGGCATCTTATAGACTCTGGCATGTGCCCGTCGATTAAACCGTTGCCGTGGTTGACTTTGGCACTTGTCCGACGCTAAGATTTGCTCGCCCTTTTGTGAAAAAAAAATCTTTGTGTTTGTGGATCCTTCTCGCGGCATCTTATAGACTCTGGCCTGTGCCCGACGATTAAACTGTCTACGCGGTTGACTTTGGCACTTGTCCGACGCTAAGATTTGCTCGCCCTTTTGTGAAAAAAAAAACTTTGTGTTTGTGAATCCTTCTCGCGGCATCTTATAGACTCTGGCCTGTGCCCGACGATTAAACCGTCGACGCGGTTGACTTTGGCACTTGTCCGACGCTAAGATTTGCTCGCCCTTTTGTGAAAAAAAACTTTGTGTTTGTGGATCCTTCTCGCGGCATCTTATAGACTCTGGCCTGTGCCCGACGATTAAACCGTCGACGCGGTTGACTTTGGCACTAGTCCGACGCTAAGATTTGCTCGCCCTTTTGTGAAAAAAAAAACTTTGTGTTTGTGGATCCTTCTCGCGGCATCTTATAGACTCTGGCCTGTGCCCGACGATTAAACCGTCGACGCGGTTGACTTTGGCACTCGTCCGACGCTAAGATTGCTCGCCCTTTTATTTTTCTATTTTCTTGTGTATTTCTTAGTTTTGATTGGATCGCGCCGCCTTCTTGTTCGGTCCGGCGTCTTCTTCCTTTTGTTGTTGTTTAAGCCCGCTTATGTGTATTGTTCGCTCCTTTTGTGTTTTCTGGTGGCGTATTTTGCAGATCACTGGCGATGTGAAGTCCACGACCTGGTACGGCCCGTCGTATCTCGGTGCCAGCTTTGCAGCGAAACCTTCGACAGCCTTAGATAAATGGTGTTCTCGGGCCCACACTATGTCTCCCACCTTGGGCTTCCACTCTCTCCGCCTCAGGTTGTAGTGCCTACTCTGGTCCTGGGCAGCCTTCTCCAAATTCCGCCGCACGACTTCGAACAACTCCCGCAGCTTCTTTGCATTCTCTTCTGGCGTTTCTGTTGCCTTTCCTGTCCCTATGGTTTCTCTGTCGTACAGGCTGTCTGGTAGACGTGGCTCCCGCCCTTGCGTGAGAAATGCTGGGGAGTATCCCGTCGAGTTTGACACGCTTGAGTTGACTGCTAGCATAATTTCCGGCCATTTTTCGTCCCAGCATCTTTGGTCCTGCCCCGTGAACTGTGCTATCATAGTTTTCACCGTTCTATTCGCCCGTTCTGTGGGGTTCTCTTGCGGCGTATAGGGTGCTGTGAATTGTTGCCTAACACCCATTTCTTCTAAGAACTTCTTGAAAGCCTTACTTGTGAACTGCACTCCGTTGTCCGTTATCAGCACCTTTGGCACTCCGTACCTGGCTATTATTCTCTCTCTAAATGCCTTTTTTAACGAATCTGCTGTCGCGCTGCGCAGCGGTACGAGTTCCGTCCACTTGGAGAATCTTTCGATCAGCACCAACACCATTTGATTTCCGTGCTTTGATCTTGGTAGCGGTCCCACAAAGTCAGCACACACTGTAGCCCAAGGTTCCTCCGGGACCTGTGTTAGCATTTTCCCTGCGGCCTGTAGTTGATTTGGCTTATATTTTAGGCACGTTTCACATTTTCGCACGTGATTCCTGGCGTCTCTATGCATGCCTGGCCAGTAGTATCGGGCTGCTAGGCGTGCTATTGTTCTCCGAGTGCCCGTATGTCCGGCTGCTGGTGCATCATGGTTTTCCCGTAGCACTGATTCTCGTTTGTTGAGCGGCACACACAGCTTCCAGGCTACTACATCCTCGTTGCCAGCTCGATGTGGTATGTGTCTGTACAGGGATTCGCCTTCCACCACGTAGTCCGGAAATTTTTGCGGGTGGGTTTTCAGCTTCTTGCGCATGTCCTCCGTCCAGTCTCCACTGTCGGCTGCTCCCTCCTTAGCTATTCTCACCGTTTCCTGTAACGGTTGTCTGGACAGTGCATCGGCTACCACGTTCAGCTGGCCTTTCCGATAGCTGACCTCAAAGTCGTATTGCTGCAACTCCAGGGCCCACCTTGCTATCCTTCCGGACGGGCTCTCTATGCTGTTTAACCATTTCAATGCCATGTGATCGGTCACCACCTTAAAGTGGTAACCCTCAAGATATGGCTTCAGCTTTCGTATGGCCCAGACGATGGCTAAACACTCCTTTTCCGTGGTGGAGTAGTTCTTCTCTGCTCCGTTCAGGGTTCTGCTTGAATAAGATATAACCTTCTCGCCGTCGTCTGTCTCTTGTGTCAGGATCGCTCCTATTCCGTAGTCACTCGCGTCAGTCTGTAGCGTGAATGGCTTTCCAAAATCTGGGCATGCCAACACCGGATCCGCCACCAATCTCCTCTTCACTTCTTCGAATGCTTCTTGATGTTCCTGTGTCCACACCCATTTTGTGCCTTTCCGGAGCAGGTTGTTCAGTGGATTCACTATTCTTGCGAAGTCTGGCACGAATCGACGGTACCACGAAGCCACTCCCAGATACTGCCTTAGTTCTTTTGTTGTCGCTGGCGGTTCTAGCTCGGCTATGGCTGCTACTTTTTCGGGGTCTGTCCCTATCCCTTGGCTTGTTACTCGGTGTCCTAGGTACAGCAACTCTTGTCTGAAGAACTGGCATTTCTCCGGATTTATTCTTAGGTTTGCTTCCCTCAGTCGTTTGAACACTTCTCGTAGATTTTTCTTGTGCTCATCCAACGTCCTGCCGATCACGATGATGTCGTCCTGGTATGCGAATGCGTGAGGTGACATTTCTGGCCCGATCACCTGATCCAACGCCCTTTGAAAGGTTGCCGATGCTGAGTGTAATCCGAAAGGCATCACTTTCCACTGGAAGAGTCCTTTGCCGGGTACTGTGAACGCCGTGAACTTTCTACTCGACTCTTCTAACGGGATCTGCCAATAGCCGTCCTTCAGATCTAGACTGCTGATGAACTTGGCCTCCCGGAGTTGGTCTAAAATGTAGTTTATGCGCGGCATTGGGTATGCGTCTTTGATGGACTTCGCGTTTATTTGTCGGAAGTCGACACATAATCTCCATTTTCCAGTCTTCTTCCTGACCATGACTATGGGCGAGCTGTATGGGCTTCTCGAGTGTTCTATGCATCCCATTTTTAGCAGTTCATCCACCTTCTCGTTTATTTCGCCTTGGATCTTCGGATTCTTTGGGTAGTACCTTTGCTTGATTGGTTTGTCGTCCTTCATGGTTATACTGTGTTCTGCTATGTTAGAGGTTCCCGACATTCCTTTAAAAACTTTCAGCTCTGGTTTTAGAAATCTCTCGACGTCCTCCTCCTCGATTTCGCTCGTAACTACCGCCACTGACAATCTTTCTTCAAGCCACCCGTTGTGCCGTTTTCTCGCCGGAATTCGTAGTTCATGGCCAGCACATCTGACCTCAGCTCCTATGCCAGTTATAAAATTCAATCCAAGAACCAAAGCGTCTACCACTCCTGGGAGTACCAACAAGCTCATGTCTAGTCTTTTGTTTCCGAATCCGACCATGACCTTGAGTTGTGATGATATCTCGCTGCATCTTCCGTCTGCCAACCTAACTTGCCGTCTTGTGTCTTCTATTTTCCCCACTTCAGCCAGTGTCCTTGCCAATGCTTCGCTTATGAAGCTTGCTGTGGCTCCTGTATCGATGGTAGCCTTGTAATTTTTCTGTCCGATGGCCACTAATGCTGATAGCTGCTGTTCTTCTTCGATCAGTTTGCCAGTTAGTTTGGAGAGGCGGAGGACTGCGACCCCTGCTCGCCTCTCTGCGGCGGGGATCGCTGGCCGTTTCGCTCCTTTTCGAGTTCCTCGTACTCGTCCGCCAGGATCATCAGCGTCTCCAGGTCGTCGATCTTGTACGTTCTAAGGGAGATCCTAAGATCTGGTGTGCAGTTTTCTTTTATCACTTCGAGGGCTTCTTTTGTAAAATATCCGAGTGGCCTCATCAAAGTTTGCATGTCGACCATGTATTCTTTAAATGATTCTCCGAAGGCTTGTTTTCTCTGCTTCACTCGGTCCGCCAACTTGGTAAAGAAACCCCTCGGCAGGAAATATGTCTGGAAACTTTCGCTGAACTCGCTCCATGTTTTCCAGTGTTTGTTGTTAGAGATAAACCATTTCAATGCCTTCCCCTGTAGGAGCTCCGGCATAGCTCGCGGAACCATGTTCAAATTCAAGCCGTAAGTGTTTGCGGACCACTCCACTTGTTCCAGGAATTCTAGTGGCTTTTCCGTTCCGTCGAACTTGAATGACCATTCTCTGACCTGTTTCGCGATCTTTGCGTAGTCTGGCGGGCTTGGCCTTTGGTTTCCTTGTTCATCTCTTGTTCGCCCGGTGCTTCTGCTTCTGCTTCTGCCTGACTCCTTCATGCTATCTACGTCCAGGCTAGCTATTAGTTGTTCTGGATCCTGGTGCGTTATCTTGAAAGATGGTGCAGGTTTCTGGCTATACGTAGCTTCTAGGCTTAACCATATTTTGGACATTTCCGGGTCGTTTTCGGTTTCATCGTAGTATGCGGCTAATGTTTTCCGTTTGTCCTCCGATCTGCCTTCCAGCTGGATGTTTAGTTTCGCCGCGACTTTCGTGAAATCCTCGGACTTCAGCAGGTATATCCAGCTCTTCCCCATCTCTGTTGCT